CGACAGCACCTTCTGTGAAGTGAAATCTGGTGCAGCACTCATGTCAGCGCCGCTCCACTGTGCGGAAATCCCCTGCGTGGCCCTTGTGCCGCTCCCGATCATGGAGCTCTGGGGGGCCGTTATTAGCAGCAGGCCCCCCCCGGAGAAACTGGAATCTTCTCTGACATCTTCAAGCGCTTGCAGCTGTCCAGATCTAGCGCTCGGGGGGCGTCGGGCGTTGGGCACTCCTCCTTCCACCTGGCCCCTGAGTGTCGACTGTATCGTCAGCTCTCGAGCACTCGGAGGGAGAGAGGCTGAAACGCGATGCCTATGCGTGCTGGCGTGCGGCCCCAGCTGAGGAGCCACTGGAACGCAGACAGTTAGGCTCGCTCCGCTGGGGGGGGAGGCGGGCGGAGGGGGGGGGCCGGGGGGCGGGGCAACAGGAGAGGGGGAAGTAGGGAAGGCCGAAATAGACATTGCTGAAACTGACAAAGAGGTCGGAGGCTCAGGGATCATATTACTGGCAGCTAAGCTCAGGCTTCTCACAAGCTGCTCTACTCGTCATTTCTTCTCCTCTGGTGTTTCCATTCTCCGTTGTGGATCGTCGCAGACTTCGGCATTCACCCCTGCGTCGCGTTCTCGAGCTCGCGCGCGCCTGTGCGCCGCAATCTCCCCATGTGCTCCAAGGGGGCGGACCCCTGCCTGCCGCGCGCGCCTGCCGGCGCTAGCGCCGCGGGCGCGGGCTGGAAGTTGAGGCGCGACGCGTAGCTCATCGCTGGATTGACCTCGCCCTCCTCGCGAGCGACCGCGATCTTCGCGAGCGGCGCCGCCTTGCCCATCTCCTGCGCTGCGGCGGCGCGCTGCCGCGGGCAGGCGCGGCCCGCGGCGACGCCTGCCGCGACCGGGCCCTCGAAGACTCGAACGCCCCTGCAAGGCGGGCGACTGATATAGCGCCCGTCTCCTGTATCTTCCTTTCCGCCTCCGCCAAAGGCAGCGTCGCCCTGGCGCCCACTGCTGCTTTGGCACGCGCCTTGACGCGGGCCCTGACCTTCGCCGCCGCCTGCGCCCCCGGCCACGTCAGGAAGGCCTTCAGCTCGACGACTTCTGTCTGTCGCTGGCGTAGCGCAAGATTGAAGATCAACCGCGTCATGACTGGGGGGAACTTCTGCATCTGCTTCGCGTTCAACAACTCGTCGGCGAACGCGTTGGGATGCATTATCTACGCGCCCCTCTTCTTCAGCCGGTCTGCCCCTGTTGCTTCCAGAGCCGAAGACGCAGACGCGCGCGCCCCCCTGCCTCCGCGCCCCGCGCTCGCCGACCCGTGGGCGGGCTCGGCGCCCTCGAGCGCCGCTGGAAGCGCCTGCAGCCACGACATCAGGAGTCGGCCAGGGCGGGTGAGCTGCCCCAGGGCGCCGCTGTAGGTCGGGCAGGGAGGCGAACTCGAACGCGCGCTCATCGTCTGGGCAAACAAACAACTGCGGTTCAACCTCTGGGTAGCTAAGCGTTGATTTATGAGCTATACACCTCCCGTGTCGATGCGCTGCTGTGATATGACTGATCGCTGCTCTCGTGCGCGCAGGCTCCTTTGGGGCGCTGATTGGTGACCGTGTATTTCGTGAACCTGTTAAGCTGCCCATGCGAACTGTCGTGGCACCACGTTCTCAAAGGCAACCTCCCAAAAACCAGCAGCAAGCTCCTGGGCGCGAAGCTGGGGTAGGCAGGCGAGAGCTTGATAACGACGGAGCCGACGCACGGCTATCTCAAAACTGGGGGGGCGACCTTGATATTATTGCACGCGGCCTCCGCGCAGATCGCAGTGACCTCCCACATCTCCTCCTCGCCCTCCTCGTTAAGCTCGCGGTGGATCGCGAACCCCGGGCGCAGGGTACTCGCGCAGCGCGCGACAACTGAGTCTAACTTCTGAGTCCGGTCAGGGGTGAGCACCCTCGCCTCGCGCCCCGAGACCGCGGCGCCGATCGCCCTGCTCTGAATGACGAGACGCTTCCGAACAAAGAATGTGCAGACCATCCAAAACTTGCCCATCCCCCGCCACCCTATCCGAATAGCTGAGCATCTGGCTTCAATTGCCGCATCGTTCCGCCCCGACGTTTGCGCCCGAGCTCCCAGAAACACCGAGGTCGCATGAACTTCTCCAGAATTGGAGACGTGATGATAAGGATAGGCTCGAGTGGACCGTCGCGAGCCTCGATCCACAATGCAAGGGCTGACCGCATTACTTCGCGACTCTGAGCCAGACCCACGCGAACGAGGGCCTCGCCCAAGTGCCGGCCCGAGGTCTTGGCCATCACCGCAGCGCTGCGCGCATCAGGAACAGCATGCGTGCAAGTCAGGTCATCAGCGTACTTGCGCACCCCCAGGTCGCAGGTCTTCTGCGCGATGGGGCAGCCAGCGGCAAAGTGCGCGCGCGACTACGGCCGGGAAAAGGGCCCGCCTCCACTCGATCGTAGGCAGCGCGAAAACGATCCTGAACGTCGTCGCCGCGTCGGAGTCGCCCATGTAGCATCCCGCTCCATCCCGAAAAGTGCCGTCGCCATCGTGGGCATTCACCGCGCGGGCCGGGCGCCTGTGCTTGGACAGCATGATATGCGCGTCCGCTGGTCGGTACATCTGGAAGACGGTCTGGTCCAGATGCTCGTGGCTCACA